CGCCGAGTGACCACTTCTGTATGTCCTCCTTAGCTCCTTCTCTACCTCAGAATCATCAGAAAAATTGTGGGAAGACAGTTCCCCCCTCCGCCGCAACGCAGGTAGTAACTCATTCTTCCTCTCAGCATCATGATCAGCTGTTTTTTTCATCGGATGATTTGGAAGCAAATCATCGGACACCCTCCCCTCATACGCCTTCTTAATTTCGGTAAAGAGGTGGGTGCCATGGAGACCTTTTTTGCTTCCTTCCTGAGTGTGTCCACCTCCAGGTAATGCTTTTTTGTCCCTCTCGTCGCACTTGTCGCGACTGGCAGGATGGGGAATCCACCTGCTGACCTTCTCCACAACTATGTCATCTGTCCTCTCCACAGCTATGTTATCTTTCCTCTCCTCACCGATGCTTCTCTGCCGAAACAAAGAAGAGTCCTCCCTGGAGTGGATACATCCTTCCTTCCCGTCACCCTCCTTTATCGCACTGATGGAGGTGTCCCTATTTAGGGGAGCCTCTCTTTGATCTGCCTGCCCTGCCCTTACGCCTTTCTCCTCTCTTCCCCGCTGTTCTTTGCATTTTATGCGTCCATCCACCTCTTCCCTGTTTGGTGGATCCCCCTTTGGGATTGTCCCAACGGTGGTGTTCTCATCATCGGTCACCACTTCGGCGTAGAAACCATGAGAGAGATTTCCTCTGGGCTTCCTGTGCATCCCCCAAGGGTAGTCTCTCCTGCTTCCTCCCTTTAGAGAGACCTCTTCTACGTCATCACTTTGTACGTCATCCCTTGGAGGGAAAGCAGACGACTCGTGTAGCCTCTCTTCTGTTTCCTGGCTTGTTCGTTCGGATGTCCTGCTCCTTACACATGGCCCCATTCCGGGATTTCCTCCACCCAGTTCGTCCCTTCTCGTCTGTTCGCGCATCGGCAAACTACCACCAATGGAGCCAACAAGGGTAGGATGCGTAACATGGGGAACGTCGACAGTGCGGCCAGCCTGTCCAGTGCGGCCGCCTTCCCCAGTGCCGCTTCTACGCGGGTGCTCCGCTTCTTCACCTCTGCGCTGTTCTTTCATATCCGCCACAGTGCCACAAGAAATGGCGCTGCCAGTAGCGTAACCACCCCTATCATGCGAATGAGATGGTTTCCGTCTTTTATTTTCCAATACCTCCTCTCGATCGACTTTCCTCTTGGAGGCTAAGTCCCAGCTGTTGTTGTTCTTCTGCCTCAGGAGGACATCCCTCTTCTGTGTCAAGTGTGTACGAATGGTTAACGACGGGTTCGTTTTTCTACCTGAACTGTTCAGGCGATTTTCCGTCCTCAATTTTTCATCACACAGATCTGCGCCATGTACGTGAGTGGTGTTATTCCCTTGAGTGTAATAATCTCCCCTCCGAACTAGGCCCCACTTGACTTCTCGTTTCTCTTTCCCTGTGTTGGAAAAGATACTGGGCAGTTGTCTCTGCACGCTAATAAGATTGGCTCTCTTCGTTATGGCATCGGCTTTTTCACTGTGAGGATTGCTCCGATCAGAGCCTCTCGAAGCATACATAACAGCGTGTGCAGAGTTTATTCTCCTTTCGTTATTCGACTTCTCCGCCTGCTGTGGCTGCTCATTGTTGGTTTCCCTGTTCCTGTTCCTTCTCTGCGTTGCATTATCATCGGGGCAGCTCTTTGTGTTTATGCTCACATGGTTGTTCCTTGGCCTGTGTGTATTCATGTTTTGGTAAGGTTTTGGTGGGGGTGACTTGGCTGTCTGGCTGCTTGGCTGCCTGAACGGAAGGAAAGACACAGCTATTTTGTGTTCACCTTCCTTTTTTGGAGGGGGATCTTTCTACATTAGCAGGGTGGGATGGGGAATGCATGAACGTCGGCGTGGACGCAGGCATAGCGTATCTGCCTGCATGCAGGTTTTACATGCCGATTGTGCGGCTGACAACCCCCCTGCGTCCACTTCCCTATCGCACTTGATTACGCGTGGCTATGGGGAGTGGATTCACAAGGGTAAGTGTGCAAACAGAGGGAAGCAAAAAAAAAAAAAAAAGAGAAATCCCTTTCGAAGTGCCTTCCCAGCTGCTAGCCCTTCCACGATAGGGTAAATTTTTTGTTCCATTTTACCCTGCTACGTCATACATGGACGAGGAGCGCATGAAGTTGGCTATGACTAGGCAGGCACTGCCTCACGTTCGACGCACTTCTCTGTTCGCGAGTTGCGCCTCTCTCTTTTTGTATTGTCTTCCCTTCGGCGTGTCCCCCCGCGTGCGCACAGTGTGACGTTCGCAGTGTGCAATGCGTCCTGTGCCGTGGCCCTCTGCAATATGGGCATCGGCATATGCCCCTTCAAAAATGTCCCTTCACAAATGGCCCCTCACAAATGACCCTTCACAAATCGCCGCTTCCAAATCGCAGCAGCCCGTTCGGAGGTCACACTTGCTGGCCATTCTCCAGGGATTTCCCTATTCGCTCATTTTTCTTAAGTGGATTTTTTTTTTTTTTTCACCTCCGTGCTTTGCACATACAGCATTGGTGGTACTAAGCAATGACATCCCCTCTTCCCTTTTTTTTTTTTTTTTCCCCTTTTAATACTTTCCGCGAATGCTGCAAATTCTGCGAACGGCGCTAACTCCACGCTCGTCGCACTTTCCCCCTGTGTGGTTCTCCTCGTGTATATGTCTAAAGGGGACAGGGGGGAAGCTACCGCTCAGGGGCAGAAAAGGAAGTAGAGAAGGCAGGAAAAAAAAACTGAATCGCTAGGGATACTTACCCTAACGAATGGTCAGCAGCAGACCTGCGTCTCTCTAGAGGGGTGTGCCACACACGGCATGGTATTCTTCCGTCAACCAATCGACAGATGACGGGGTGAAGCGAGCTGAAGGGGAAAGAATATCTCCTAAAGATCCTCACCCTTCTGATATTATATCTGTACGGGGGTGTATGTGATGGACTTCCCCGAAACTGTGACCAACCCCGCTCCCGTTATTCCATTTGAGAGTCCCCAATGTGAAGTGGTTACTTATCTGTGTGGGTAGTTGTACCCCCCTGAAGGCATCCTATTTTTCGAAGGCACCGTTTTAGAGTGTTCCCTTTTCTTTTTCTTTCCAACGTGGAATGGGAGAGGATCCCAATATGGAGCTGCGATTTGTCCGACTGTATTGATCATTCCCCATCACAAAGGGGAGTTCAACGTGAGAGTAAGATGAGAATGGCAAGCAGATATAAATTCACGTCGAATTGGAGTGGTGACAAAGTGGGGTATTATCCAAACAGGGGGCCATTCTGAATTTTTTTTTTTTT